AGAAAGCACAACCTTTCAGATGTTACAGTTCATTGCTTGCTAACTATCCGTAAAAGGTAGAAAATGGTAACGTGTTCTACATTTTAGCACTATTATAACATTATTAGAGCAAGCGAAATGACCCAGGAAAAGCCGTATATTATAGTAATTAAATGAGCATATACCATCTAATTATCTACTTAACGACATCCGATCCTTTCAAGTAATACAGCAGTCATAGCCTAGTTGATCATTCACATCATACTTGAGCATATAATTTGTTATACTATGATACGGTGCTACCCTGCTACTGTGATGACATCACCTTCAAATCTAATAAAGTATTGATTATTTCATCGCCAAGCTCATTCTTTATCCCACCAAGTTTTACATATATCTACTTTATACTACAATAAACATTGCTATTACCTTCCAATTGATCCGTAGTTCTTCGTTTACGTTTTTTATCGTTATTCGGTGTCTTATTGTAAGAAAGAGATAAAAAAGTATGACTTGAACTATGATACTAATAAGGTAGTAGTCATTCAAATATTACAACCATGGATTAATATAACAATTTTACGTCGCCTAAGATGCAGGCAATAAGTTTAAGGCGACAGATTGACGCTTGATATTAACTTGCTATTACTAACAGTAAATGACTCCTCGTTCAACTCCATAGATAATAAAATTGACTTACTTCATTGTTATCACCAGTAGAACATAAGCTGTCACTGCCTGAATCTTGGTTTGCAGTCTGCATTATCTAAAAATTAAATTAAAAAACCCAATTCATTACGAATATTGCATGACAATTCATTCATTCAAGAAAATCATGAAGCCTCTATTCACACAGATACGCGTATGCAGCTGAAAGCGAATTCGAATACAGGTATAATCAGCAACTGATCATAGCAAACAATCAAAACACTGCTTATAAAGGCTGAAAGAGCTTCAATTCTCATAGTTAAAGTGTGCGTATGACACAGGAATGCAGTACAACGTTGATAAAGTCTTACCTTGTTAAGTCCAGTTAAACGAGCTTCTAGCAGCTCTCTCTTCAGTGGATCTAAGTTGCTTAATTCCCTACCGTCCATTAATACCTATTATCCCATAAAACTATAATTCGGTATAATTAGTTAGTAATCATGAAATAACGCAGGCGACTCGTTTTGAACTACATCGACTACCTGATTTCAGTTGCAATACTCAGTTATCCTGTTTACAAATTCTGAAGACGCTACAAAATCATTTGTTACAATTATACTAGAAGTGTTACCATGACAGCAACATAGACTAGCTTTAGAATCAAGAATTATCACTTTAAACTTGTATTAGATTACTTAATCTTCAAAATCAGCTTTGCATTTTACTTTAAAGCTTTCGAGGTGTCTATATCAAGCAGGAATTAGCTAGCACCTGCATACAACACTCACGCAAATATATGAATTACTAAAATGGCACGAACGCCCATCCATAACAGTATTAGTTACAAGTACTGTACTGTACAAGTCATCGTCGTCAAATTGATTGATGGCGACATCAAGCTAACGAGAATAGCGATCCCAGAATTGATGCAAAGATCTCTAAATAAGGTTCTAAAAGGAGGTATGACGATATTATTAGTAGCTGTTAACGACACCAATTCAAATGTTTAAATCCCTAGCGCAGTGGCGTTCAACCTACACCTTATTACTAATTATATAGTACTGTTTAATACTAATTAGTCCATCGGATTCCATGATCCTGATTACGTCAGCTACCAAGTCAGCAAATGACAGCCCAGTTGATGACTACGGAAAAAGCGAGTAATCTCATTCTGTAACAGCTTTTATCATGAATTAATTCACACTAGCGTTTTCTGAACTACAGCTTTCTATAGTGTCGCCATGATAGACAGTCCTACACGCGAACAGGTTGTGTTTCTGCTCAAGTGCTTATGGACTACGAGATCGATAGCATCTCCTGCAAGTAGTGGATGTCCTCCTGTCACTGGATGGTCATCATCAAGGCGAAAGCAACTCAAAATTTCTATGCCATCAACTATCCATTTTCTTCAGAAAAACTTTTCAATAACAAGTCGCTGATTTATAAGTACTTGAAGTAGTCATTGTTAATGAATTCACTAGCGAGAATCTTTCTCTTGTCATTACACTGGTGCACTGTGTTTGAGCAGGGTATGATGATGTATCTGATACCTCCCTACCTCAATGGGTAACACCTATTTCCTTGACAGAGTAAGTTATACAAATGTACATTCTATGCCTCCCTGACAGTTAACTGAGCTTGCTGAGAAAAACAAAAAAGCAGCTATGGCCAGTACAGTATGCATTTTTCAAGAATTAATCCTTCATGACAAATCGTTTGCACAATCATATTGGACTAGTCAATGTAGAAAGAGATGGGTAACACCTATTTCAAAGGAAGCATTGACAGAGTAAGTTATACAAATGTATATTCTATGCCTCCCACTGACAGTTAACTGAGCTTGCTGGGAAAAACAAAAAAAAGCAGCTATGGCCAGTACAGTATGCATTTTTTAAGAATGAATCCTTCATGGCAAATCTTTTGCACAATCATATTAGACTAGTCAATGTAGAAAGAGGTGTAGCTATGGCCACTGGCATCCTTCAATCCGCGACATTTACTTCCCATTTGAGCAGACTTTACAAAGGAAGCCGCAGACTGCATACCTCTATTACTGCAATAACAGTTACAATACTGTGATAGCTGCTCAAGTAAATCATTGATCTGCTAATATCCTATTCACAAACTGCTTATGATCTACCAAGCCCTTGCATTCCTCAATCAGTAAAATTCATTTCAAAGGAATATTGACAAAGAAAGTGCCTGTATACCGAAGTTCAACTACATTGCAAAAGTATACAGTAGATAAGGGTTTATACGCTTACTAACTATAACTAGTCCATTGCCTAATGGCTACAGCGATTTCTTTAGAGGAAAACTTTCGAAGAAAAACAAGTGATGAGACCCATCGTCATAAACTCTAGGTGTAGTTAGAACATGGAAGAATGCACTAGAAGCACAGCGCATTGCGTAGATTGTTCTTCTCCATACATGGCATTTATTCATTTTTAAAAGCAAAAGTCTACAGTAGTTGCAAACGCACGTGAGCGTCAGGTCAAACGCAATTCAAAACTTGGCATCCACTGAGTTACTGAAGGTACAAAGCAATCAACGTATCTGGACATTATGCCAAATCATTGACGACCTCATTGCTCATAGAATGGGAAATCACTGGCGACAGTCGTCTAGTGCAACATGCTCCTAGCTAACGGAAATGCTAGTTGCATCAACAAAACAAATTTACATCCTGGTATCATTGTTATTGCGTTTTAGTCCTCTGACTGACTAATTTAACTGACACACTGACAAGATATTGTATCATTGCATGACTAAGTATTTCAGAGAGCAATAATAACTGGTGGAATCTTGATGGATCGATTGGCTTTCGATATATTATCATTGTACACGTCTTGTAGGACATTATTGTAATACTTGCATATGCAGTGTATCATCATGTCTATCGACTGCATTGATTTCAGCCTGTATCCTGTTCTTCCTATACCGTATATGCGAAATCATCTTACATTTCATAGGCAATGACCATTAATCCTGATTTGAAGAAAGCAAATAAAATTGGCCAAGATCGACTTGATGACTTGAAAGCAACTTTGCCAGTATCAGAACAGCAGAGACCTATTGGGTCAAATGAGAGCAACGAGACCACTAGAAGTTGCCAATGAAACCAATTGCAGCGAGGACTAGACCTTGATCAGGTGCAAATTGGCAGTAAAGCACGTTCCAAGCTGATCTCACAAGCGAGCTATCTCGCCTTTTCCACTGGCTATGACCAGGTAGTAGCACTCGGTTGAGTTCAGGCCTAGCGCTGATACCTTGCCCTGCAATTGTACAGTGTACAGGTTACAGTACGCACTCGAGAATACTGTAGAGGTTGTACTGTACACTGTACGCTACAACGCTAACTTCAGTATTGCACAGTGTACAGAATAATCCTACAGTGCTAACTTGCCCTACTCAGTATGAGTACTGTAGAGCTACAGTACAGTACACTGTACACTACAACGGTAGCTTCAGTATTATACTGTACAGTGTACAGGACGAGGTCAGAAAAATCCTACAGTGCTAACTTGCCTTACTCAGTATGGGTAGAGCTACAGTACTGTACTGTATAGTGTACTATATATTGTACTGTACTGCACGGCGTGATTAACTTCGATGCCAAGATGGCGTCGAAAATGTAAAAGTTGCAATTTGTTAACACTCCTGTTCAAATTTGATCGGTACAGGCTCAGTTTATTTTCCTTCGTACCACCGAAGCCAATCACGCTGTACTGTACTGCAATTAAGCCGTATTGTATATCAATTGTTCTAAAAATTTTTTAGTGAACTGCAGCTTCCAGAACACCATCCACAAAATAAAATTACAATTAAAAAAATAATAAATAAATGAATTCAATCATGACATACTTGAAATCCTGTTACTTTAACAGCCTTCAATCTTTCTGAATCATCGTATCTACGACAGTATATCGTACTGTAGGCCCTTTGCACATTCTCAAGACTAATCCCCCAAGCGAGCTGGTTCTGCGCGTAGTTTGAATAGCCTCTACTTTAACCTCAAGTACGACTGATTGTTGCTGTCCTTTTTTGATGTAATGGACTAAGTGCACATCTGCGTAACTAGACTGACAGAAAACAAAAATGTGTTCTTCTTTATTTCATTTTACAGTTAATTACTCTTTTGGAGGGAGCGAGAAAGGCGATTAATGATCAAGATTATCTGCTTCGACGTAAAGTATCAATTCAACTTCATGTTGACGCGCGCGTTAAACAACGCAGCTTAGCTGTAATGGAGTTCACTCGTGAACAGTGGAATGATTGTTTAGCATTTTATTTTATTCTATAACTGGATTCAGTACCGTGAAATCTCTAGCCTTTAAGTTATGCTATAGAGCATGAGGCAGCAATATTATATATATATATATATATATATATATATACGAATGCGATACTTGTAAACAATATAGCTGAATGTAAACGTCCATTCAATGAGATTATACGGTACAGTACTGGTCACATAGAATTTTTAGAATCGTATAATCACAGCTTCAAGACCAATAGCTGTGCTTTTATGTATGGACGATTTCAATTTAAACAGCGTATACTCATCATCACTTATGATATATAACTTAAAGCAATTCTCTTACGAATTAGTTGGTTAATACTGATGCATCGATGGACTGACTGAGCAATCTAAAGTTCCACCTTACGCGTATATGCGTATTCGTATTAAAATGCAGTACTAATAATAAATATACAACGAAAAACTATCAGTAAAATTACAATCAATTACTTAACATATCATTAAGAATCCTACTAACGACAGTAGCTTAGTATTCTGAACAAGCACATGCGCTATTTTACAAATAAGTAGAAGGTGTATACTCAAGGACAACATAGAAATAAAGATAGAATACTAGCAATAACCTATAATGTAATTTATCCAGCAACACCGAATTTATTTGAACAACTTTTAACGATAACGAATGCAAATGAGTTATCCTCTCAGCATATTGAGTGGCTGGAATGAAAGCGGCTAGCGATTCTCGTCAAAAGGTGGCTTTCATCTTGAAATCGAGGCAATTAAGCTCTGATAAAGGTGGATCGTTTAGTACCGGTAATTGGATATTCTGCAGAATCTTGATTATTCCTCCTCCGACGGCATCCACAAAATAAGCCGACAAAAGCTTTGCGAAAATCGCTACTTAAACAATTATATACCACTGGATTATAAGCGCAAGATAGTACATAAATCGCCTGAGATAAATTAGAATAGAGTATTAGTCCTCCTTTTTCAGCAAATGTGCTGTCATCGTCAGCGTTACCGCTAAATGCAATAATTATAAAGTTAATAGCCATAGGCAATGCAGACATCATGTACAGCGCTGTGATAACAAAGCAAGTAGTAGCAACACGATGATTTCGCTTCTGATGGAGTAGCTCTGTATCTTTTGTCGGATCTCCAGGTATCTTATTATTTAATACGTAGATTCCAATACGAATGTAAATATTAGTCATGGTAACTAATGGTATAACGTACAAAACCAATGTAAGACTGATGAAATAACACAGATTAAAAGCACCACTAATTTGCGGTACAAAGCATTGATAATGAAATTTACTTGGAGCTGTTGTTGTGAATATTTGTGGAATACCGAAAATGAAGCTTAAAAACCATACACCAAATATTAATATTTTCAATTTTCGTCGATCTAACCTATTTTCGAACGGTTTAAGAATTGAGTAATATCGTTCAATACTTAACGCAATTAGGAAACTAGTCGAAGCAATGAATGAAAGAAACATACAATATGCACTTGTTTTACAAAAAACTTTCGCAAACGTGTTCATCTCTCCACCATTTAAATTCGTCCAAATTTTCCATACTGCCTTGTCTAAGGAAGAGTAAGCTACAACCATATCAGCAATGGCTAAATTCACAATCAAATAATGAGTTACATTTTGTAATTTTTTTGTCTTGCATATAACAAAGATAACCAGCATATTACCTAAACCACCAAATGCGGATATTGACAATAATAATGTCGCCTCCACCAGCCAGTAACTATTTGTACCATTTGAAGAAATGCTGATATTCATATTGAGAGATGATCAGTAGATCATATGATGAGGTTATATCTTTTCTTAATGATGAAAGATACAGTGGCGCAGTAGGAAAATTTTGCCGATAATTTTAGCCAAATTATACTCTATTAAAGACGATAACTTACCAATTTTGGGAATTTGGACATACAAGTATGTTCTGTTATGAAACTTTAGAAGCTACGGCGCTGCATATATTTGTAATTGCTAATAAAGCAAAAGTCAATGAGCAGATAGTGGCAAATTGTACGTCTTGCTATTATAAAATGATTGATTCCATAGTCGTAGAAACCAAGTTGAAGTAGAAATGATTGTTTAGACCAATTGTGTATCATCCAGTAACCCAAATACTAGTGCGAGTTTATATCTATACGGATAGTAACTACCTTTTTCAGTGATAGCCAAAGATAGCGCTATTAATGTGAGAACGAAAAGAGACCTTGCTTCTTCATAGAACAGTATGTGGTTATTTTCAATTCTAGAGTAGTAATCAAGCCAAGCTGGCTGTTTCAAGCAAGGTTACGGTAATTTTTCTTAGATTAAAAAAACAATTTCAATTATACAACAATTAGAGGGTAATGAAACATTTGCCTAGCTTCTTTGGTATGAAAACTAAATTTTCTCAAGTGATTGCCGATATATATAGCAATATGCTAATATGCCTGTATACCTAAGTAGGTCACGAGTATCACAAGAACTGTTACTATTTATAAAAATTGCTTTGAAGAAAGGAATAGATAATTATAATATGAGAAAATGTATTAAGCATGACTTTCCATTACAGATGTGAGCATCATATTACGATATTTACGTAACATGCTAATTAAAATTTTTATTGTTGCATATTTGAAAAGTAGTTAATTTAATTCAGATGCTGTTGGTTATTTTGATAGGATATCAGATTTACTTCTTCTATTGATTAATTACCCTACTGTGTAAGAAGATTGCATCAGAAAACGAGCTATTGTATCAAAATAATTGCTGCATGAAGAAATACTGCAGGAAACTGTCGTTTTTGTAATCATTTGTTGCTTAGCTAATTGACTGAAATATCAATTATTACTATCTACGTTTAGGGTGAATATAACGATTTTGTACGTTAAAAATGTACAAAAATCTTTTAAAATAAGTTACTATTGCTTCATTAATAAAATATCAGTCATTACCACCTAGATTTAAGAAGAATCTAAAGATAATATACGTTAAAAATAGACAAAATCTTATAAGAGAAATTACTATTACTACACCAGTAAAATAGTAAATAGTAAATTGACTACACTAGGGACAGAAATCTTGATATAGGATAGGAATTCAGACTTATTACGGCGCTACAATTGCCAATTAGCATAAATTATCGGTTAATTGTTATTACTATTGAGAATTAATTACTCTGGTAATATGAAAAGCTCGTTCTAAAATTATAGGAGTAATAATAAATACTGATTATATTTATTATTGCATCACATTTCAATGAAATTTAGGGCATGGCTGCAATTTTAGTCAATATGATTTAGCTATTAATAATTAGTAACTAACCTTTAAGTGATTGTATAATATTATCTCACGTTTTAATTCAAAATTGACTCAAATTTATCAAGTTTTGAGTGACAACGGTTGTAGTTTATTTTTGAATAAAATTAGCTATTTAACACTATATAAATCCGTCCTTGACCTTTAAATTTTTCGATGGCGTAAAGCTACTTACTTAGTTCGCCAACAATGATAATAATAAAAGCAAGATGATTTAAAAATATACCGTATCGTAGTCTTTGTGAATAAATAAGCTAAAGAGTATTACAACTCCTCCTATCATAATTATATACAGTATCATGTAAATCATTTTAATGAAACGAAACTTTCAATCACATTCATTTATAATCATAAAGCTTTTTTTATTATAGGGTTAAAGCAGTATAACAGTACTTAAGACTTTCCTATTAAATCTAAGAAAATAGAAAAACTTTAAAATCAAGTTAAAATGTTCAAAGATGCCAAAATTCATGGAATGTACAACTTGTATACGATCAGTTCTTCAATAGACAATCGGAACACGCTTGAACTGATTGAGTTGGAAAAACACAGCGACTTAACAAATCTTGTAACTTCGTTTGATGTTACAAAAAGACATCTCTGTGTTTGTTTTGTAAAATCTTATAGAAGATAACATGTTACAGGTTATCGTGTCTCATAATATTAATTATTTAACTCTTTCGACAATCTTAAAGTAACGTAAGCAGATATACATGGATAGAATTACAGTATATCTAGAGGAACCCTTTGGATATCAGTAGGCAATCGTATTCGATGCAGTCTACCGCAATAGTCGTATTATAATATATAAGCATAGTAGCTGTTATTCCTGGCTTCATAACTAGCTACATGCAATGGAAGAAAACAGTTTTAAACCTAACATTTCTGATATGATCTATACAACTATTGAACTTCGCCCCGTACTACATACGAGCATCTACAATTTTATGAACCTTACACTCAGATATCGCGTGAATTCGTAATCTTTATTTTTATTTCACAACACAAATAAGAAGTCAAGATTAAGATCGAAATACATTCTAACACTATTCATGAAGTAGATTTTAACTTAGAAATTAAGACCAGATAAGTGACAATTATCTCGTAAGAAAGATCTAACCAACTAATGTACAATAGTATTTTACATTTTACACTGTACCTAATTAATCTCTACATTAAAGCACAATTACTACTGATTTCTATTGATATCAACGTATCAATTATTTTTTTATACCGACGAGCCTAATAAAATAAGATAGCTGTGACGATTACGAATATAGAAACAACAATAAGTCACGGAGCAGCGATGCGAATTCGATATAGAGTTATCACTTGTACTGTATTTGATGTACTTTAAATGCTAAAATTTGATGAACAGAATTAAAGGCACCACTTAGTAATTCGATTCTCAATTGCATTTCGTTTCTTCTGACTGAGATTTTTGCAAAATACATCTAAAACTGCCTTACGAAAATCTTTGCTCAAACAATTGTACATTATTGGATTATAAATACTAGATAGCAAATAAACCATTTGAGCTATTTGAGAAAAGAAATACAAATTTACATCGGTAAAAGGTAATTTTTTTCCAAATCTATTACCAAAAGCAATGATGAAAAAATTGACTGCTAACGGTAATGTAGAAACCATGTAGAGTACGGTAATAATAAAACAATTCCGGGCGACACGATGATTTCGTTTTTGATAAAGGATTTTGGCATCATTTGATTGCTCACCTGGCATCGTACTATTTATTGCATACCTGCCAATATATGTATATATTATACCCATCGTAATTAACGGTATCACGTACAAAACCAATGCAAGGATGGTAAAATAGATGGAATTAAAGATGCCTCCAATTTTAGGGATGAAACATTTATTTTCAAACTTTCCAACTACAGCAGTTGTATAAATCTGAGGCAGGCCAATAAATGTACTTATAGACCATATGACGAAAATAATAATCTTCAGTTTATGCATGCTTAAATGATGCTTTAACGGCCTCTTGATCGAGCTATACCTTTCAATACTTAGAGCTATTAGGGTGTTATTGGATGCTGAATAGGATACAAACATAGTTATCGCACTAACTTTACAACAAACTTCGGAAATAGCACTTAGATCTTGAGACACTGTATGGATCCAAATTATCAGCCAAGCTTTGTCCATACTTGAATTAGCGACCAACATATCGGTTAAGGCTAAGTTTGAGATTAAATAATGCGTAGCATTATGTAGTTTTTTTGTTTTCCATATCACGATAATAACTAAACAATTACTGATAAAGCCCAATCCGCTGATAGTCATTAAAATTACAGATTGGAAAATCCACTGATTGTCGGTTATATTTTTGGCAATACTGGTATTCATTTTGTGATGAAACTTATAGAATATCAATATAGACTAGTAAAGATAGCGTTAACCTCTTGTTTATTGATAATAACAGTGAATATATTGACGTACTGGCTATCAAAGAATATCCAACTGGTTTATAATGGCAATGATATTATCTATCTATATAATTACTCTATAAGCTAATGGATGACAATGTTAAATAAAACCTACTCGCTTAGGTCAATGAATATATGTCTACACTTCAATGTGGCAATATTACCAATCAAATGGATACGATGTGTCTTGCGTAAAATATTTTCATTGCCGAAATAGGAAATTCACAGCAGTAAAGCAATTGGCCTTAATCTCACTCTGTCACCGCTGAGCGAAAAACTATACCAAATAACCAATGTAGTTATTTCGCTTGGCATAGAGAAATCACACGTGTAAACTCGACATCTACCATTACAGCCGAAAAGAGCAGAATTCACAAGATAGAAAATCAGAATAGCTTAAATTCGCCAAGCAGTTGTTCTGTTATTCCTTAATTGGTATAATTTTTATGAACTTAACGGCAAGGATATCATCCGAAAAGACTTTTAAACAGAGATTTATAGATGTTATTGATCTTAGCTATAGTCTACCTTTTTAGTGAATGTTCAGTTTAATTAATTAATTAATTAATTAATCATGTGTCAATTAGCAGTAAATTGTTACTAGTGGAGACCTAATCTTACTCAAATAGCGAAATATAATTCATCTTGATTCGTACAAACTAAGTTATGCACGATATTCATTAGTATGATATTTAGAGGATATTTATGGTTAACTTCACTCGAAACTCTTCGGATGTACTCAGTTAATACTAGAAATAGAAAACGGCTTAATAAAACATTTTTATCTTTATATTAGTAGTAAATTAACGATTCAGTTAATCGATTAATTTTTTATCATTTTATCATGGATAATTGTGAATCAATGATTTTAGCCATTTGCTTTCACACCAGAGAATATTTTGCAGCATCGCAGTATCTCAAGTATAGAATAATGTTTCATGAGTCAATTACAGTATAACGGAC